ATATATATATCAGGTCCTAGCTCTGGAATCACTCATTCCTCCAAAGAGCCTGGGCTTCTAGAGTGGGAAGTGGTATTTAAAGGCCACAGTCTGTGCTGTCATTACATTTAGGCCTTTTCAGTGGTCAGAGCTAGAAAATACATATTTCTGGAAATTTAAAAAAAAAATCACAGGCTCATACTCATATTTCCAATTCAAATTTAACATTATAGGGAATATTTATATATACCACTGTGGAAAATCTTGATTCCTAAAAGCAGTTATTTGCTTTATTCCTCAATATTAAAAAAAAGTTTCAAAATAGTACTAATATTACTATTAACAATAAAACTATTTAATGCATGAAGTTTTTGATTTCTTTGCAGCTCTGTTTGTCCTTATAATATATTCCACTGAGGCTACATAGTTAAAATATTGCATTAATAACTTGAATTATTTTCTATGTAGTTATATTGCTAACTTGATATAGAGTTAAAAATGATAAAACATTTATTTCAATTTTTTTTAATTTTTAGGGATTGCTTCTTTTTGATATATCTTTTGAATATGTAATGTGTTAACAAGATACCAAATCTAAAACATGTTTAAGATAACAAATCTAAAACTGTATAACAAAATATACTCAGGAAAGAATTACTTTCATCTGCATTTTTATTAGTTTTGATTTATCTTTGTAGTGTTTCTCTTTGCAAATATAAACAGATAGGTAAGTATTTTAACCCTATCACTTTCTCACACATTACTGAGAGGAGGGGTGACCATGGGAGCCTCTCACTGCCCTGTATGCCACTCCTATGAGGGGTCAGCCGTGCCCACCTGTTCCCCATATTGTTGTATTTGCCATGGATTTGTGTAGGTTGAGAGTATTGTGGTTATATAGGAAAATACCTATATTTGTCTTTTCCTGTTGGATACTGTCAGTTCAAATTCATCATGTGGAAAGCCAAGGTATCAGCTTACTCCTTGAACTAACTCTGCCTCCAAATTTTCCTGTATCTGTTCTCAGCCTCCGTTCTCTTAATCACTCATCACAAAAACTTTGGTTAACTCAGACTTCTTTATTCTGTTTAGATTTTATACTCTATCAATCACCAAGACATTTGACATCAATATGTTTTGAGCATCGACTATATGCCACACACAGGATAACTAAGACATGACTGGTGATTCCAAAGAGCTTACCTTGCAGAGGGGAAGCCATGGAAAAAATAAATGATCCCGGTGTGGTATAAACTGTTGTAATCAAAGTAGTCAAGAGATGGTTTGGGAGAACAAAGGAAGTAAAGAAAATGTTAACTAAGGAGGACTTCCTAGAGGGGGTGATGCCTGAGCTGAATTTTTGAAGAAAGTGGGAGCAGGATTTAATCATGAGAAAAAAGGGATGACGATGGGAGAAAGAATATTCCAGGCAGAGAGAGCTCAGAGGTAAATGAGAGCAGATGTGTTCCAGGAACTACAGATTTTTTCAATATGCTTGGAGTGTCATAGTTTGGCAAAAGAAGAAAGAGAGAGACCTGATGGTGAAGAATTTTGTCTACTCATCATGAACAATTTTGTTTTTTTACCTGAACTCTGGGAAGACTTTGAAGGATTTAAAATTGTGTAGCGATGTAATCAGAATTGAATTTTAAAAAGATCATCTTGGAGATTTGCCAGAGAATGACAATGGAATGAAAGAGGGAAAAATCTGAAGGCAAGACTAATGCAATAACTCAGGGGAGAAATGATGAATGCCTGAACTAAGGGCAGTGGCAGAAAAGATGTTGGGAAGAAAACTGACTTGAGAGACAGAAAGGAGACAGAACTGATAAGACTTTGCAAGTGGATGGTGACTCTAGGACACTCTTAGATTCTGGTTTGGCCAACTAAGTCAGTGGCGGCACCATACACTTAGAATAGAAGCACAAGAGAGAAGCAACAGATTGGAAAATGAAAAGCAATGGTGAGGGTATCCCAGAGGAATAACACTATGAAAAAAGTATTCATTCAACAAATATCTATGGGGCATCTACAATGTGAAAGGCACAATGTTTTCTAGGGAGTGAACAACAGATTGTAAGATAAGGGCAAGGATGTGCAGGAGTTTATCTACAATAGAGAGAGGATTAGAGAGGGTGACTAAGAAACAATGTGAGGGAAAAGAGCAGAGGGATGAGTGTTAATGGGAAAAAGAGAATGGAGCTTGCACTTGAGAATGAAGAAAGTAACTGATCTAAAGATCCAAACTGTGTGCTGACCTAAATGAATGCTGAAGCCTCAGAGAGTTTCAGAGGTTAATGAGCTAAGTTCTTTTCAATTCTTCTTCTATAAAGCCCCCTGTATCTTTTTCATTCTTATTGCTATAACCACAGCTCAGACATCACCATCTTGTTCCTTTAATTTGTGTATTTCTTCTCCTTTTTGTTCATATATTTTATTTTAAAATGTTTTCCTTCTTTATGTTATATAAGCAAAAAGAAGAAATTTAAATATTAGACTTATTGCTCAAAGATAAATGCTGTTGATATTTTAGGGTGATTTTTCTTTTTTTCCTAATGGAGGAGGGAGGAGAGAAAACATACTTTTTTAGTTTACAAAAAGAGGATCATATTGTATATTTTGATTTTTAATGTGCTTTTTAAACTTAAACAGCATGATATGGGCCTCTCTCTCTGCCCTTAAAGATTCCGCTATAACATTTTTAATGACCTCATAACATTATACTGTATTCTATTA